CAACACGCCAACACTAGTAATTTCGTTAATATTGGCCAAATCGAATAGTTACGAGTAGGGATTTACACGAACTAGTAACTAGTGACTATATAGTGACTGCTGCAAATACCTAGTGCGATATAATTCTTAAAAGTGTACGCCAAACAGAAGASATCATAAATCCACAAGTATAATATATATAATATGTATTAAATTATTAAAATATATACATCTTAATTTAATTAAAATAATAAATATAATAATATAGTTAGACATTTATAATAATTTTGACAAAATCCTCGATTTTAAAGTTTAAAATAATTATCAATTTCTAATAATATTGGGCTGATCAATAAGGCTCTCAGTCCTCGATTCTCAGATATTTCATGGCCAGGTTAGGTTTTATACCTACCACTAATCAACAACCAATAGTAATTTTCATCACGGTCATTGTCTGTAATGGTATTATTATTATTTTTTTTTTAACTTTGTTTTGATTTAACTCTTAATCAGACCTACTGAGCTAGCTATTTAAATCGCAGAATATAAGCTAATTATAATTTTATTAAGAATTAATGTATACCTCCCTATGATTTTTTTGTCTATTCGTAAAAGTTAGTTAATATATGACAATATATCATGATATCAAATTAAATAGTTTTTCTGAGGTTATTCGATCGATTAATAGTTATTTTTTTCAGAAGTATTTTGGTTGTAAACCGTGTTGTAAATAATCAACTATATTATTTTAACAATGTAAGCATAACAATTAATTAGAAGTTGAAAACAATAAATGGGGCGCAATAATGGTTTTACTAATCAATAAATCATAAAATCTATTAAATATTGTGTAGTATAATATAAGAAAGCTAATTTTGAATTACTTATTATTATAACAATTAATTATCATCCATAAACAACTTATATTATATAATATATAACATTAATATAAATGAATCTTTTTAGCATTTAATTAAAAACAGGCATATATATCTATATAGGTACATACTAATTGTATTAATGTAAATCGTTCAATAAACAGTTATTAGTTACCTATATAGGTAGGTATATATTTTTATGGGTGAGTGAGGATCGTGATGGCGTGAATGTCTGACGGCTGACATTGACGATTGTCGATATTTGATTAGACTATACTATATATAATATAGAGTATATAGGCTATATATTATACGTAGTATAACTACTATATACGCGTATAAAAAATATAGGTTATTACCATAGTACCATCACTATAATTTTAATATATCTTATATCTATACTACATATACCTAGGTACTTAATATACAATATTAATAATTAATGTATTAATTATTAGGTAGGCACCATCATAATTCCGTTTTAGTTCCACGATTTTGTGATTGGATGAGGTGCATTGAAAATAATTTCAAAAAATACCGCAGAATAGTTGTTCAATTGGGACCCGAAGGTAGTTGTGGAGTCATTGCTATACCATTGCGCTCAATGCTTGATCGTAATTTAGATATACCTGTGCATAAATATTATTATGGTATAGTTTTTACATTTACGTGACAAGATATAATATGTAATAATTAATAAACGTAAACTTTAAACTTTTTACTATAAAGCGGGGGTCTCCAAATGTTTTTATGGTGGACAAATCTTTGATACACTTCACCAAACATTTTTGGATAGGGATAGGGAGAAAATTAAATAAAAGATTTATAAGAATTAGTTTTAGTAATTTTTATATTAGACATATTTAAAAAAAAAACTATATCATCTTGGTGGACACTGAACCGGTTCGAAAAGCTGGGAATGCCAAAACAGGCACACAAGATAAGTTAAACACAAAAAATAATATAGGACATTTATAACCTTAAAATGTGTATCTGTATGAACCATAGATAATATATATTAT